TGTGTGCGTGTGTGTGTGATCATGACCTGCTTGATATTGTCACTGAGGAAGACAAAGTAGACGCAGCAGAAGCCCAGCTGGGTGATGATTAGAAACAAGTTCACCGTCTGTCTGAGAGAGAGAGAGAGAGAGAGAGGGAGAGGTTAGACAAAGGGTAAGAAAACATATTGAGCCTGAATTGTCACCACACTAATACAGAAGGTTCATGAACTAACACGGTGATGAACAAGTTGGCTCTCTGACAGAAAATGCTGAGTGCCTTTAAATTTGTCTTTTTTCATGCCAGAACATTTCAGCAATGCTTCATTTTATGGGTAAAATTCTGAATAATCTTCCATGAAGCTTCCATAAAAAAAATTTAAAAAACTATGTAATTTGGTTCCCATTATAGAAGTCTTGCATTGTATGGTTGCCTGTAGACATATTTCCCATTAGTGCACTTTCAGCTGACCTCCTGTGTGTCGACTGAAAGAGATTACAACAGCAATTAAATGTAAATTAATTGGAATGAATTTTTTATACGTTCGAAATACAGTCTAATCTAATCTAAGGGTAACAATTGGACAGTTTTCTCTATAAAAATCATTTGTACCAAATTACAGCAACTTCCAAGAAAACCTCTGAGAAATGATTAGGTCTAAATATCAGGACCTACAACATAACACAAGCTTCTTTATGAGAGCAGGAATTCATTGTTTCTACCATAATTAGATTTTGCAGCCTCTGAAACTGTGTTTATACCCTCATGAGACACCATAACTCTGACTGAACTGAGATACTGTTTCTTAAAAACTCAACAGAAGTTGCTTATCTCAGGCTTTAAAAAATACATTACATGACATGCAACTAACTAAAATAGCTACATTACTGAATCCATATATTTCATAATGTGTAAAAAACAAACGACACATAACAGAACTGTATGGTGGTGACATGAATAAATGATGAGAACTGATTTGAACCAGAGCTAAACTCAGCAGGTAAAACATCCGTCTTACTTTCCCCACTGCGAGTGTCTCCTCAGCCATGAAACGTTTTCCATACCGTACTGCACCGCCTCGCCGTAGGACAGAGATGGCCTGTTCATCCTGGACGGGGAAACAAATGAACATCTTTTATACGATATGTCACAGCAGCTGAGCATCCCAAGTTTCTTTAAAAAGCCCAATAATTGTCATGTGGTTTATAAATGAGGTGAAAAAATGAGAGATTAATGCAGTGGAAGATGAAGGGCCAACAAATTGTTACGGGGTGAGCAAGTGGCAACAAAGAGGTAAAAATCACTCCTCTGCTTCATGAGGTGCTGACATGAAAAGTGAGCACACGGGGGTATCTTTGTTCATCCCTTCCCTCCATGCAATGAATGTTACTGTGATCGAGTTGTTTTGGGAAATTAAATACTATTAAATAAGATAATCTCATGATTATTAAAACATTTAAATGATGTGTAATAACAGATTAGGATTTTTTACAACCTGTCTGTGAAAATGAAAGACAAAGCAAAAGTCTAACGCAGCCTCTGAGTTACAGACATTGACACACATTGGAGGCTGTCTCATGGAAGCACAAGAAGCCCAAAACGACAGTGAAAGTTGTAGGAAAACCCTTTGCAGTGAAGAAAGAACAGTTCAGAGTGACATTATGAAACGAAAAATTGCCAATAAGGTGCAAAAATAGACAAAGATAGGTTGGGAAAGAAAGAGTAAAACGGCTATAATAAAGGATAAAGAAATATCAAATATCTCTATAACTACATATTTGTAAAGGCTTAATAAATGAAACTTCATGTCTGTATGAGTCTATGAGAGAACAAGAGGAAGTGCTGACTCTTGTCTCAGCAGACAAAAAAAACAGGAAGAGCAGCATTCGTTTCCCACAAGCCTTTCTTCTCTGTGTTTCTCAGCTTGATGTGTGACTTTTCTTTCATAGACTATGTCTGAGGCTCGCTGTAGAGGCGCTTCATTCATGCTCTCGACCTGCTTAATCCTCTCTAGCGTGGCGGGGCAGAGAACGGGGCAAAGGGCGGGAGGACACGGTGGAGGGGCGGGTTGACCAGCACCAAGCTGCAAAACACACTAATGGGAATCTGATAACAGGTTGAAGTGTACATGAGCGTGTTAATCACCTCGGTTGTCACACACCAACAGCTGTAAAACGGATCCTTCCTGGGGTTTATTGCCTCGTTCAGTTACATAAAAATGTATTTAAGTTGGACTGGGGACAACGTTTACAGCAGCCCTTCTGATCACGGGTCACAGTTACATTGCCTCTGGTCTGTGGAGCTGACGAAGAGCCTCGGTCGGTGTGAGTGCACTCCAAAACTCAGTGCTAATATGCCGCTGATTACAGAGCAGAAAAGGGTGGAGAGACATCCCTAAATAGAGTGTAATCTGTCATCCAGCAGCAACAAACAAGTCGCTCTTGGCACTCTGGACGGCTAAGTAAACAAATGACAGACAAAAGCAGAGCAAAAACTGTGGTTTCACAGCGCATGCAGGGTTAGATTATCTGCCAGAAACAAGCCACAGTGGACCCGCTGTGAGAGAATGGAGGTAGGGACAAGAAATTATCTTCAGGCTGCGTTCTGGAAACAAACTATTGCAGGGGAAGACAAAGACACCCACATGGACTAGGACCTCCAATCGAACCCACTTCATCTCAACCTGCCTTTTCTCTGTCCAGTTTAGTGAAAACTGTTCTATATTTCACAAGAACACTCCAAACAAGGGAAGGTGAACTTTTTGATTAAGGGTTGGGTGTTATAACAACATACAGAGGTGTTCTTTATAGCGTTTATGCAGTATCTTCCCTTTTTTTATCTCTGGCTGAGGGCTGCAACTAACGATTTTTTTTCGTTATCTGAAAATACTGATCGCTGGTTCCAAAAGCCCAAGGTCTTGTTTTTGTACACAACCCAAAGACATTCAGTTTACTGTCATAGAGAACTAAAGAAACCAGACAATACAAGGGACAATGCAGACGTGCCGTGCAAGTCTAGAGCAGTATTTTAATAAGGATACTCTGAAACACTTGCTTTCTACTGTGTAAGGTGGAGCTGACTGAAATGAAAGTAGCGAATATTGGTTTTATAGTCCTAAGGCTTTCGGTGTGTTCTTACTTTGCACTGAGGTGGTGTGAACATTTGACCAGCAGCCTCATGCAGTGGACTGCGACGACACCCATACACAGCAGGCTGATGGGTCCGAGCTGGAGAGAGACAGAGAGGTCAAAAAGGGAAAGGGAGGGACGGAGAGTTTATTTAATCTTTCAATGCTGTTAAACATGAGGATGTCTTATGAGTTCAGTAAAGTGTAATTGAAGACTCAAGATTGCAATTAACAGACTAGCCCACTATACGTTTAAGCAATTTTTCAAGAAAGATTGTCAAAAATGTGATAGTTCCAGATTCTCAAATGTAAGAATTTGCAGCATTTCTTGGTCTAACATGATGAAAAATCGATTATTGTTTGGTTTTAGTTCTAGAATATTGTGATAGGCATCTTTCACTGTTTCACAAACCAATCGATTAAGAGCTGAGATATGATTGTTAGTTAAGCCCTGCTGCTGTCCACATGCAATATTTTGCCTCATCTGTTGCTGTGCAAACGCTTTTTTAAATGAATGTAAAGCAAACCAGGTGTAATGAAAGGGGGATGACTGAGACAGGACTGGAGAAAAAACGCTTGATGCTTTTCTCTGAGAATCAACATAATGAGTAACTTAAGATTTTGAGATGTTCAGATTACTTTTCAAAGTTGTCAGCCTGGTAAGCAGTACAGTGGAAGCCTAATCATTAACATCAGATTAGAACACCGTGAGAATCATTTTCATTCGCACTACTCTGACCACAATCTATCACTTTGATGCAACATGCAAATGATTCCCCACCCCAACCACAGCTCTCTACACGAGTCTGTGAACAAGCTCACAGCTCAGGGGGAGGAAGAGGGCCAAACCCAGTCCTGCTTCCCTTAACGGTAGAACCTGTCCACGACTGCAGTAGCATGAACACACGACCACAATGTACTTCACATAACAATGAATATAGCTGACCGAAGTCCTGCGAGGCCAGCCTGACCACGTCTGTCCCATGTCATGAATATTTGACAGGAACAGGAGCAGAATCTAATTTGGTGCTTCCAGACCCGTCATGTGACCTGCTGTGATCAGATAATAAAATCTCTGTGTGCTTACCACCAGGCCTGCATTCTTGACAGCCAGGGGCAGACCGAGCAGCCCGGTACCGATGTTCCCTTTCAAAAGGTGGATTAGGGTCTGACAAAAACTGGAGAAGAGAAACACAGCAAGTAACATCTGCATTAGAATCAGGCCCACTACATTTCTATTTAAATCCATTTAGACAGACAGTTGTTACTGACTGTTGGCTGCTGAGGGCATGTTAGAGTTCACAATACTTACGAGGTTCCCGTCCGTTCTCCAATCCTCTCATAGTGACGCTGGGGTCTGGTAGGTCCAGGAGGAGAGGGACAAAGCGCATCCATTTCCGATGGATTGTGGTCAGAGAACAAAGAACCTGAGACGAAGAGAGGAAGGGAGAAGAGAGGAAACAAATGAGAAAAGGCGAGGACAAACAGAAATCAGTAGATTTATATCGGTCTTCATTTTGTCAACAAAAATGAAGACCGAAAATATATATTTTTTAAATCAATCAATTTTTCCACAATAACAACTGACTAAATAACAAGTAACTCAGCTATGATGAAATATATCATAATTTTCAACACTAATGTGAAAAAGCTGGACAATGGACAAATTATACAACAACTAGTGTAGTATTAGTAGTATGTAACTAATTAGTGTAGTATTATTCAGCGATCTGCACTTTATTTGCTCCTGCTTGCTGAAAACAGTATCCTCCACCGCCCAAAACCACCTTTTCTGCTGCGCTAACAAGCATTTTAATAACACGTCCCTGCCGGTTTGCTCATGTTACATTTCTGGACGTAACACAATGAAATTTAACAACAGGTGACAACAAAACAGCAGAGAGTAAATACAAATACAAACAGGCCGGCCAACATTCCAACAACTATGAAAAGGTCAGCTCAAATTATAAAGGACTGCTGGTGTGGATGTAAAGTTACTTTCAGTTGACTCTTTTTTTCTGGTAGGAATGTGTGCAAGCCTGTTGTAGTTTGGGTGTGTATTGTATTAATGCAGAGAAGAGTGGCATTTTCTGGGACAACTTCACCAACATTCAGGGTCCATGGAGAAGGGAACCAAGTCTGAAGAGGTCAAAGGTCCAGCAAACAAACAGCATTTCTGTGAGTCCAAGGGCTTGTGGCAGGGTCAAACACATCGCAAAGAACATTTAAAAAGGCATCAAGAGGGCGACAGCTGTACCCTCAGAGCACAAAAATCACTATTTTTCTGTCAACAGATTAGAACTAAATCTAAGTCAAGTCAAATAAACACATCAGTAATGTTAAAACTTAATCTGTACAGTAGACAAGAGGCCTGCAGCTACACTCAGCTACCTGCTTGTTGACACAGCCGTGTTTAACCATGAGACACTGCACATCTTAAGCACTCAGACTGCTGGGCTTCAGAGCACTTCACTTTAGTCTCTTGTGACTCTTCTTCCCCTTTACAAGCATATTTTAGCGTAGGAGAGATAAAAAGCAGAGTATTCATTGTTGCATTAGCAGACAGAATGTCTACTCACAACGTGAGAACTAATACTGAAGTGAAACTGAGGCCCGACTTTAAAACTCACAGCACTGTGCTGCACGGCTGGTTATTCAGTGGGTTGTCCTGCTTGTCCTTTAATCGTCGGGTCTATAAAATCTTGTTTTGTTAGTCCAAAACCAAAAGATATTCAGTTCAATATGATATAAAACAGAGAGAAGCAGGAAATCATATTTTGTTTTTGCATGAAACATTAATCTTATCAAGTCTTGGTGTTCAAATGAGCTTCTTGCCCTTTAATGGAGCATCCACACACTGCACATATACTGTTTCCAAAAACTCATTGATACAAAATCATTCAAATGTTTTGTCTCTTGTCAACAACTTGGTCCAATAATTTCATTAAGAACAAGTGAAAGTTCTTTCACTTCATGGCGTAAATAAATCATAGATACTGTACCTTTATCACAACATATTCAATATTGAATGTGTTGTTGTGACCTCCTGCCAAACAAGACACCAGCCGCGCCAAAAGCTGCTTTGATGATTCAGTGTCTACCCGCCATTTGGGATTACATATAATCCCACTGCGTCTGTGTGTATTACACTGTGTGCACCATTCCCAGACCACTTTGGGATCCAAGAAGTCAATGCAAAGTTGTACTGACAAATAACAGAGCACCTGACTTCCATACCTTCACTTCGGATGTCTACATCGCTGGAGGCCATCATGTTGGGTCAGGTGCTTTAGTGTGCGGCTGGGTGTCGTCTCTCCCAGCATCGACAGCCACCCACTGCAAAACAGAAAAAGTCATTCAGAGTCAGATTTGGCAGCAGCAGGGAAACGTGAGCGTTAACTTCACAGTGAGAAGGAAGTTACACTGACAGATCACGGTGCCTCTGTCACTGAGTGGTCCTCAATTAACAATAGTTCATCCAGAATTCATTCAAATGACTGCCAGATTTGCCAATAATGACAACAATAGTTAGTCGTAGCACCAAAAGGACATGCTCTGTCAATTTATCAGTAAAACGACTCAATATTATATGGTAAAATGTCAGAAAGTGGTGAAAAATGTCAATCACCGTTTCCCAAAGCCCAAAGATATTCAGTTTACTGCCACTGACGACTAAAGAAAGCTGAAATCAGAGAATTGACTCCAAAAACAAATAATATAATATATATTATAGAATAAAATGACAATTAATCAATGACTAATCATATAATGCAGCTGAGTATATTATAAAAAAGTAACTTTCTATCTCCACTTACAATTTTAACTGAAACCTAATTATAAAAACATTCATTCAGATGTGAAATTCCACTAAGGTATGAACTGGTTCAGAGACATTACAGTCATTCTGCAATTATGCTGCAAACAGAATGAGAAGGTATGGTGATCTAGACTTTGTGTTGCTTCGATCTTTGGGCAAGACACTTAACCCCGGCGCACTGAGCCATGACGTTACATAAGAGCAGCACGAGGGGGGGGTTAGGTCAAAGAGGGTGTGTGAGAGCTGTGTGTCGCTGCTTCTTCTAATCACACAAGGATTTGTACAGAGGCTTTGCTGTCCACCTGGCCTTTTCGCTGCTGCGAGGACAGCTAACGGCTCAGATTATGCCGCACTTTTTGGGAACCAAACTTGTTTTACTTCCCAGCAGTCATAACTTCTAGTGAGCGCGCTTCCTTAAACTCCGTGTCACAGCACGTTCAGCGTATGACAAAGCTCAGAACAACTTGGGAAACTGGATCTGTGTGTATTTTACGGGGAAAAAACACAAAATGAACTGCAAGGCCTGACGTGTCCAAAAAGAGTGAGTAGGGGGAGAGAAGATGTGTGACTTCCTGAACAACTACAGCGTTACTGCGGCCAACACGTCTCCATTAGAGCTACTCAGCAACTTTAACAAAGTGCTGAAAATGACTCTTTACTTGTGATAATGTTGCACTTGTTATATCCCACTGGGTAGGTTCAATATTGTCACTCTAGGTTAATCCTTTAAGCAATCACGCTACACACTGACTCCATATAGTGGACGCAGACACGGAGAAGTGAAAGCGTGGCGCTGGCACGAGCTCTACATTCACACGCTCACTTACAAACATTAATCAGAGAGTGCCGACCTGGACCTTCTCTCTCACCCTCTCTCTCCAGATCTGTGGATTAGGATGTTCCTGGTTTATCTGTTAACAGTTCTGTTTGAGGTTATAGATATGTAAATAGCTGTTTGTCTGCCTCTTTCACTCGTTCCTTTAGCGAATATGTAGATAGTTTGCTCGATCTTCTTGACTTCTTGTCTGGCTAAATAACGATAATGTTCACAGTGTGTGTATGTAAACGTCCGTCGCTGTATATACCGATAATAAAAAGGTTTACAAATTATTTAAACAGAAATCTCCATAAAGGTCAAAATAATTCAAATGTTTCATGACAAGGGTAGCTGTATTAGTGTGGAATATATATATATATAAAAGAACATCAACAGATAAGTCAGTAAGACATGAAACATTATTAATGGACTCAGTGGAGCTGGTAGGGTGTGAACATGAGGCTTAATAATAAAAGTCCCAGCTAATGAGTTAGTCTGAGCTACTATGAGACTGCCAAGAGGATCAGACAGTCATTTAAATATATTCTCGGCTATGAATACAACAGAGGACACACAGCGAGCTGACAACACAAGACTCCACGCTGCCTGTCTGTCAGTCGCTCAGTCTGCGGGGTCTTGGCTGGGGAAGCGGGGGTGGCTGGTTCAAGTCCAGCAGCGGCCGCAGCGTGGAGTGTGGACTGGCGAGAGAGGAGCCAGCTCACCTCCTGGGCGCTCGCGGGGCGCCGCTACGTGGCAGCCCATCACTCTGAGCGCTGAGCCACGCACAAACTGAACCTTCACCACTATCACCGGTGTTTCATCCAGTGTCGCTGCTGTGGAAAAGCTCCTTTCTTTCACACATGGAAACACAAAAAGGCTTTGGCAACAGTGTCTGTGTTTTTGGGAGGAAAGAAATGTAATATTTATCTACGTGTGCACTTCTTTCAACAAACCTATTTAAACTAAACTAACTAAACTTTTATCTGCTAAAATAACCGGACTGCAAGTGAAGAGGGTTTCTTTTATAAACTACACTAAGACTGGTTCACGATCTGCTACTGAAAATACAAGTTTGAATAGTGCTATACTTTTATTATGATGTATTCATTATTCAGCTAACAAATATTCTCATGATGAATCTGTCCGCTGCGTTTTGCTGTTAAACAACTGATCATTTTGTGTCAGGAAGTAGTCCGAAATATCCAGTATAAGAAGGCAGTTTAATATTTAACATTATTTGTTTGACCAATACTCTAAAAACCCCAAATATTCAATTCACAATGTGATAAAACAGAGAAAAGCAGCATTTCTTCCTCAGTTGAGACAAATGATTGGCTTTTTGGCTTGAACAAATATAAATGTGTCAATATTCAGAATAATCGCAGATACATTTTCTGTCGATTGATAAATCAGTTGAGCAATTACTTTATAATTACTTCAGTTTTAAATCTTATGCACCTAAATACAATAACTAAGTTGGGTACCGAACCCCCCGATCCAATAATCAAAGTTTGTCTGAAGTCTTTTCCAGTGTCACAATGTGCAGTGGAGTTTGTAAACAGGCGTCAGGTCATTCCAGAGCAGGTAAGGAGATCTCCATTAAGGTGCAAACAGCGACCTTTACAGTCAAAGGTCTGAATGCAAATATTAAAAGAGCTCCCAGTGTTTACTGATGATAAGCCAACACACAGCACATTCCGTGTGCGCCCCAGGGTGCGGTCACATCAGCTGCCTTCACCGTCTGCATCTGCTCGGTAACGGAGAATCACAAGTGTGCTGCTTCATCACAGCAACACACACACACACACACAGCAACACACACACACACACAGCTGCTTCATCACAGCAACACACAACAGCAGCACAGTAACACACACACAGGCTGCTTCATCACAGCAACACACACACACACACACACACAGCAGCAAAATAACACACAACAGCTGCTTCATCACCAGCAACACACACACCACCACACACCACACAGCAGCACAATAACACCACACACAGCTGCTTCATCACAGCAACACACACACACACACACAACAACAGCAGCACAGCAACACACACACACAGCAGCACAGCAACACACACAGCGCACAGTACCACACACACACAGCAGCACAGTAACACACACACACACATCACAGTAACACACACACACACACACACACACACAGCTGCTTCATCACAGCACACACAGTAACACACACTCTGCACATAACACAGTAACACACACTCTGCACAATAACACACTAACACACATCTGCACAATAACACAGTAACACACACTCTGCACAATAACACAGTAACCACACACTCTGCACAATAACACACACTCTGGCACAACGAACCTGATTAATGTGATCATGTTAAACCAGTGTGTGTGTGTGTGTGTGTGTGTGTGTGTGTGTGTGTGTGTGTGTGTGTGTGATAAAGCGAGCAGATCCGTCCAGGAAACATCTTAAAATGAGCCTGTGATTAATATAGCAGTGTGTTAACAAAGCAAAGGGATGGCGCGCGCGCACACACACACACACACACAGTAACACACACACAGTAACACACACACACACACACACAGGACTGAAATAGCATGAAATGGCTAAAACAACTATGTTGACTAAGATAATGTTATCAATAATCCAGATAACCCGCCGTAACGAGCTGTTACACGCGTGGAAACACGACAGTTCACGTCGCCTCGGCTCTGCAGAGCAGCTTAGTTACGTTATGTGTCATAAACCTCGGTTAGCCGCCGATAGCTGTGTGCGTCCCGATGCCATCTTTGTGGCCGTAAACAGCGAACTCTCCTTACCTCAGCGGGAACCGGGTGTCGGTCTCCTCTCTCTCTCTCTCTCCGACTGGCTCTATTCTTTTACTAGAGGCTCACCTCGCCGCAGACCTCTGCTTTTCATATCGCAGTCATGTCTGATAGAAAGGCGGCGCGGCGACGAGCTGCTGCACCGATTGAAGGCGAAACGAGAGTCTGTCGGTCCACCGGACTGTGCGCGTCACAGAGCCAGCGGTGCGGTCACGTGACCCGGGACCCAGGGACGGGAGCGTGCGTCGGGCTGTTTGTGCGACGTACTGTTGCCATAGATACCGGATTATGGCGGTTTTAACTGCGTGTGTTTTTAAAAAGGCCGTTGTATGTTAAATGCTTTGGTTGTCGGGAAGAGGGGACGTATTACTGACTAGTGGTAATAAAAACATAACGTACTTTTTTCTTTATCGCGGCTTTGTTGATAAAACTACGTTTTTGGTTATTGTATTAAGTCTGTGTTCATTCTTTTAAAAAAATAAAATAAAATAGGGCTTTTATTTTGGAAAAATGCGGATTGGAAGCGCTTGGTTTGTGTCCCGGGGCGGCCAGGCTACATTGAGGCTACGTTTAGAGGTTACCTACGCAGTTTCTCTTCCATTAATGTTTACTTTTATTTTTAATTCGCTCAAGCAAGTAAGTGAAAAGACACTAAATGACAAAAAGGAGTTGGAAATACGCAGCAAAGATAGGAAACATCCGGTCACACCACCCGGGTGACAGCTCGCTCTGCGTCAAATTATCCAAAATAAAAGCGGAAGTGACGCCGGTTTAGCCAAATTGAACGTTATAAAAATCCTCTTTTAACGTTAGTTTATATTTATGACACGTTAAATCCTCTTTATATAGTCACACAAAAGGTTTACTACTGACTACACGACTCAAAACGGTGCAACATAACAATACGCCCATCTAAAATTAATTATTTCACACCGGAAACGCCGTTGCTCTGTTTATAAGCGCCAATTTAACAGCGGCTAACGTCAGTTCATTCCTGTCCACTGTTTACAACGTTTATAAATCAGTAAGAGGTAAAAGTCCACTGCTGGTTGTTTGTTACAGCCTGGTTGCGCCACAAACATGACGGTAAGTGACCACTAAGAGACTTTTGCTGTAGTTTAGTTCGGATATAACTTCCTCTCCGCGTTCAGTTAGCCTGCGAGCTGAGTTAGCTTTCAATCTTGCATAATTAGTTGGATAGTTTGAGCAGAGTGAAGCATTACATTCATACCAGCACAGGTACAGCTCAGCTCTTCTTTGTTTCTCACGCTGACACATGGAAACCTGAGCTCACATAATGTGATATCGGGTTATCGATCAGCAGTGGATGTGATGGATTAAATGATGGATTAAAAGATGGATTAATGAGTGCAGGAGTCAGTGACATTATTTAATCTGCCCCCCCCCCCTACAGAAGCACGAGTTTGAGGTGGCGATGACCTGTGAAGGATGCTCTGGAGCTGTGACCAGAGTCCTCAACAAGCTGGGAGGTGAGACTGACCCGGCTCGGTTCTTCTCTGGGTTCTGATGCAGACCCCCAGAGCCTGCCAGATGTTCCTGCAGCTGTATCAGCAGACACACTGATACACTGATGTGTGTTCTCCTTAGACCCCAAACTTCATAACATCTGCCTTCACCACCTGCAGTAAAATGTCACCTCCTTTTGTATAATCTGAGTTTTAAAAGTCTTTGTGACAGCTGTTGCTGCACCGATAATGAATCAAATCAAAAGAGAACAATACAGATCCAGGAAACGAGGTGGTGTACAGATAGACTGATGACATAAAGCAGGAGATATTACATTACATTATTATATATTACACTCCTTCAGGAAGGAAACAAAAGAGGCTCTTTGACTGCTGAATTTACATCCATCAGTGAAGCATTTTGCCAAAATCATTATCAAATTTATTCTAAAAAATATTTGTCTTCTTGTGTTTTGTAGGGAAGCCAAACTCCACATTCCTCCTACTAAAGTCTTTAAAGATACGATCAATGACAAATCTGCTTAAACCAAAAGAACAATTAGTATTTACCACAATGTAAGATAAATAAAGTATACTTCCTTAACCTTATTCACAATCAGGTGTTTATGAGGAAGCATTCAGTCTTTCAGTACATTTATAAACTGATTGAATTTGCTGTGAACATGGATCCATACCGCGACCGTTCCTTGCTTATCATTCCACATCTTCTCATTTGACAAGCGGCAGGGTAACAGCGACGGGAGTTCGCATCCTGTAACTTAACCAGCTACATGCTAAATGACTGCACACCGGTCCTTTTTAAAGCTTAAATAATTTGCCCAAATGATCAGCTGCCCAAAGCTTTGCTCTACAAGTATTGATGACTGTAAAACCTCATCAGTAGCTGCTTCCTCCCCGGTACAGTACAATAAACTTGTAGAATGTGTTTCTTTAGAGTATCACAGAACCTTTTGATTCAGAGTGTGTGATGTTTCATTCTTTAAGTTGAAGCATCAAAGAAGCCAGAGCTCTCTCCTCTGTGTATCACGGAGGATCCAGTGGCAGTAAATGAACACACCCGTTCCCATGACTCTGAGTGGTGAGTCAGCCGACGCGTCACCTGATGCCCTGGTACTTCTACAACACTTTCATTTGGCTCAGTCATTAAAGTGTTGACTGCTTAAGTGCCACTTCTGTTTTTCTAGCTCATCCAGTCTCACGGTGAGATTACAAAAGGAGCTTGTTTTGTCAGACAGCAAACTTCTCTTAAAGTACATAAAGATCCTCTTACACTGTCACATCTCATCAATGTGTGAGTGTGAGTTGGTGAAAAGATTTTCTTCCCTGGAGAACTGGAGCCAGAATTCTAATTTATAAGCAGAATAATCTCATGGTGAATCTTCTCCTCATACAATGCATTGCTGCAGTGTCTTCAGTACTATTATATCGCCTGTTGGAATTAACCAAAGTGCCTCTTTGTTCTGTGTGCTCTCAGATGTGAAGTTTGAGATCGACCTGCCCAAGAAACTGGTTTGGATCGAGTCCGACAAAGACGCGGACTTCCTAATGGAGACGCTGAAGAAATGTGGAAAGGAGGTCAAGTACAACGGCGCCAAATGAAGGAATGTGCTTTCACGTAGAGCGGGTGGCGTGATGACGGGGATACAGTGATAAATGTGTGTTTCTTTTCCGAGGACTGTTGGTTAGGATCGCCGTCAGTCTGCATGGCTTTCTCCGACCACCAGAAGGGTTCATTATTATTGCTTTTATTAGATGTATTGTCTTTTCAAATCAGTTCTGCCTGTTCAGACGACAACAGAAGAGCCTCGATTGTAAAAACAAAATTAAACAGTTGTGCTGCGTAACCTTCTTTCCCGTGGTAGAGGTGCATAAGTCAAGGAATAATGTCCAAATCAACCAAATCTGGCCGAATCTGGCATGAAGCTGCATGCAGGACAACCACAACAGTGTCATCGAGGCGTTCCTCTACGTGTTATTCATCTCTCCAGATTCACATGAAGAGTATTAGTCCTGCAAGTCCCGACTAGTTTCATTATCAGTCGGTCTGTTATGGATTTATAAATATATGGGCGTGGGTTGGCTTACTTCTTTCATCTGTGTGTATTTTCTTTAGAAAATGATTGCTGCTGATGCAAGGTGAAGATTTATGCTGGAATTCTTTATCTGTCAGGAAGAGTCTGATGCCCCCCCCCCTTAGATGCCAAACCTCCCCAAGCTCAAACGCACAACAATCCCCTCGGATGCAGATCTCGCTGTCTGTCTGTACGTGCAGCACTGGGGTCGAGGCAGGGCTGTGCACTGACACATGTATGTTAATACAAACAGAACATCGGCGCAGGCAGGTTAGAAGACTGGTTGTCATTCTCATGGAATTATGTAACTGTCTTTGGAAAGGTCACCTTAAATCTGCAAAACAGCTGACGCACATTCCCTGGTTTGTAAAGCATTACTGCTAACTATTGGCTATATTTGACTCAGTATTATAGCATTTATTGGATTTGATAGAATGATCTGCACCAATGGGGAACCTCCGTCTGTCTCTCTTCCCTCTTCAGTGACCATCTGCTGGACTTGATTTTGTTAGACTACTTTCTTTTAGCTTCGTCACAATTTCCACTACAGTGATCCACTAACACCACAGGTTAAATGTATCATGTTGATTGAAATTAACCGACAAATGTTTTCTGTTACTAACATGAAGCCCTTATTGTAATTCACTCTGTCTTTTTGTCTCTCTGGAAAAAAGAGAAGCACCCTCTCCAGGGCTTTTTGTAATTGTCTCTTGATATGTTGTGTACACAACCTACACAATAAAATCCGTTCAGTCTGTCCCAGTCTGCTTCTTGTATATCTTTACTAGTAGTAATTCTTATTTAAATGGTATGAATAATGAACAGGATTTTTGTAGCATTTATACAAAACAATTTATGAACTGAACGGTGTGAATTGTGGAGAATCTAACGGATCTAACCATGTGTAGTATGACTGTAAATTTAATCTTAAAACTCACTCAGACGGGTGACGCAGTGGACTTTTTCAGAGGTTTTATACATCCAAAGAATTTCTATAAAATCCAGACCAGGTGTCTGATTGAGAACTGAGTTTATTTGTGAAAACGTATAGCCACACCAGGCTGGTAAAGGGGACCTGCGTCTAACTGGGAGCCTGCTTTTAACATTTACAGTACATTAAAAAGGAATTCATAACTGATCACACTGATAAGGTTTCTCTTCTACATCTGTAAGTGAAAGTGAAAGAGTTGAACGATGGTAACTGAAGTAGAAATTCACAGGTTATTTAAAGAGACCTGAGTGGTGATAATCATCTTTTAAACTGATCAGAACAACAGTACGGAACTACATCACTGATCCTCACCCTTAGTTTAGTTTAGTTTAGTTTAGTTTATTTCAGTGTGTAGTTGATGTGTGTACATCCTACAAGAGCCTTTTTTTCCTCCATTTCTTCATCTTAATGAAATTAAAATATATTTAATACATTTTAGTCTAGGGCTCATTGGAAAACATCACCACTGGGATTCAAATAGTCACAGTTACTGTTATTGCACACTAGTTACCTTCTGTTTTCTGAAGTTTTGTCAGTATAACTTTCTGTAAATCACCACAGTGGTTCCCTTCGCTCTCTCTGCCAAACCTTGTTTTATGTTGTCCTTCCCTAAAGCATAAAAATGTCCTCCTACCTGTGAAGATCTTTTAAAAATGGAACCTTTTTGCTATTTTTTACAGCGCAGACAGTACATGATTGATAGTGAAACCAGGCTGATGCCTTCACTGCAGAACAACAAAGACTAATCCTTTAACAGTTCTGCAGTAAGAACACACACTATCGGTTATACTTTCGTCATATGTAGTCATCTCTATACAACATGTCCAGCTGTTTGGATAGAAAGTATATTAACCCTGCTCCCTCACTGGAACCTGAAGGTGTGAAAATGTTTTGGTTGTGTAATAACTGCATGCCTCAACCACCAGGAGGCGCTGTGTGATAAAGAAGTGCTCTTTCTTTCTCTTTCTTGAGAGCTTTTAATTGTTTAAAGTAATGCAGCACTTGCCTCCTCTTTCAGCTGTAACTCAAGAGCGGGCTGTGATACAGTCGGTTAAAATGAAATATTCTCTCTCAGTTCTTCACACTGGTGATCCTCATCAATCAAAACTGCTGTGACTCAAAAACACTCACTGCTGCTTTGATTTCTTGTCAGGAGGAAATAAAGTTTTGGACACTGTGGGAGCAGACTCCTACGTGAGTTTCAAACTTAAAGACCCGGATCATCATGTCAGACACGTCATCGGCTGTTAAGATTCGGTGATGAAATGCAAATTAGTGAACTTATCCATTCCTGGTCAAATCAGTTTAAAAGGCAAATGTTTAACTCCTGTGCCAAGTTATAAAGTGAGTTCTCATGTATATTTTAAGTTATGTAATCAAAAACTTTAAGATAACACTTTTTTTCATGTCCCGAGGGGAAGACCCCCTCCATACATGTATTTAGACTGTATTTAGCTTGGAGCAATAATGTCTGTCTGAAGTCCATTCTCAGTGTGTGGGTACTGCTGGTTTTAGGTTTCGACATCACAAGTTGCACACTGGACCATGATGGATCATTTATGATGTCACAAATCATGCTCATAGGCCCCGCCCCTTTAAAAATCAGTTTTTTTTTTAATGAGCACAGAGAAACTTTTCAGCAGATGAATGTTGAAAACATCCTTTAGTGTCAAACTCTGCACATACATCATTCTGCACAGTGAAGCTCAAACATCACACTGCAGGAACAAGAAGAAAAACACATTTTTGAGTTGACAGGGACTTTAAGTTACAGCAGCACAAGAGACAGACCAGAGAGGGAGGTAGGTACAAGATACAGATAAGTTAAAAAAGAGTTTAAGAGCAAAACATTACAATGCAGTTCCCTGATATTCCTGAGCAAAATGAACAAATATATACATGAAATAAACTATATAAGAAGGTGATGTATTATAATGTGAATTTAAAGCTGCACATTTTATATTTTTTAGTTTATCCTGTGTCTGTTAGTCAGGCTGCTATCACAGAAAGATCCACAGCTGCACCACTTCCAGCCGGTTCAACCCTGGCGCCTTCGCCGCGAATGACACCCAGCAGGACGGTCACCAGCGACGCGTAGAAGAGGGTGGCACAGCAGATGTAGAAGGTCCAGCCGAGGTGCTGCAGCAGCTCCGGCTCTTGCTGTTCGATGGACACCAAGAAGGCGATCAGAGCGGCGGCGCAGAGAGCAACTGCAGAGGAGGACGGGACGCAATGCATAAAATGTTTAACTTTATACCTTTTATCTGTGTTTTTTCCTCCAGTTTTCAATAACAATAGTACAAACCAAAATAAGGTTTAAAGTTCAGATGATAATGATGAATGGTGAATGATGATGGTAACATTTGAAATTAAAATGAAATGTCACGGTGATGAACTGCCCTCCACTGAGGATACATTTTCCATGCACTATTAAATAGAGTAACTGCAGGCCCATTTTTCTACCAAGTAATAAAAATAATAAAGTGACACTGAAATGCAACACAATTATTGAGATATTTAAAGGACCAGTGTGTAGGATTTAGTGTCATCTGCTGTGTTCTCTCTCACTCTCCTGTTATATATGGCATCTATGGTCTATATATAAATACATATATGGACATGTGGAATGATATTTGCCTGTATGTGGTTATAAATTGTGTGCTATACCAGAGAGGATGTTGAGGAGCAGAGCGGCGATGGCTTTCTTTCCTCCGTTTAGAGCAGGCCTGACTGTGAGCACAGCAGTCAGAGACAGCAGACTGGAAGCAGAGAGAAACATCCACGACAAACTGTAGCTTCCTGCGAGTAGACCATAAAAAGCACCATAAAATGTTGCACTTAACATGGTTAATATATTCTTAACTGTTAGGGTATGCCTGAACCCCGTTAATATGTCTGAGACACATCACAGAGGCTCAGCAGAACGACTAGCTGGTCCGAATTTCTTTGCCTTCTCTCACCAACTCTACAACAACCTCCATGCCTTGGATGCCATGTTTAGTGACGGCCCTGATCCTGGAGGTATCCCCCTGCTGCATGGTCACCTTATGCATAGTAATCACAAAACACCACAAGCAGTGATGATTCGAGTACCGATGTCTGACATGAACCAACCAGTCTATGTTGTCTGTCAGCCTCAGCTGGGCACTTTGTGTTCTGGCTGAATGGTATCTTTAGCTTTAAGTTGATCAGCAAGTCAACATGCTATATTATTATCATGAAGGTATTTAGTATTAGTGTGTTAGCTTGGGCATATGCAGTTAGCTTGTTAGGTTAAAAATGTAACATTTAGCATGTGCTAACCCTATATTGAGGTCCAATGGTTGAATGCAACTAAGAGCACAACATTTAAGAACTATAGGCCTATTTAAGTACAATTCTAATGTGTGTGTATTTCTCTCATTTCCAGTATGCTTCTATTGTTATTCCACTACACTTTGGAACCCAATATTGAACTTGAGTTACTTTGGAAGTTCAGAATATTAATACAAAACATAAATCAACTAATAAATGAATGATGTAATGTTAAGCTACCCGGCAGTTTGTAGTTGAAATTCACTCCACCTTTGCTGATATTTACACATTAATGCATCAATAATCATAATCCAGTGATATTATATACATTCTGAAATGGGTCATTGCACATTAGTACTTTTACTTTTGATACTTGGTACTACTAACTAACTCTGGTGCAATAACTTTTAATTGTTCGCTGTCCCTGTAAAAATAAATTAATAAAATAAAAAATGAAATTATACTAATACTTCTGTACTTTTACTTAAGTCAGGTTTTGAATGCAGGACCTTTACTTGTAACAGAGTATTTATACACTGTGGTATTGATACTTTTACTTCACTGTATGTATGGGCAGTGCAAAGTTGACCCTTTAAAACAGGAACATTTGCTTTTGATGGACAAGTAGGAGTTCTTGGTACCATGGTCTAATAAGGCCCTCCTTACATAACCAAGGGATATATTAATACTTATTAATTAATACTCGTTAATACTTGTTATAGATCAGTTAGAATCTATTGATATTGTTTCCAGGGTTATGAAATCTTGTTTATCATGTTCTAATAAGTCATCAAGTCTGAGCTTTTAAAGCTTTAGGGAATCATAAATAAATAAACCAAATGTTGTTCTGATTAATGGCTTTTCACTGATCTAATAATTATTAGTAAATGCTTCATTAACATTAATAAAACTATTAAAAACCCTTAATAAATTGTGCCCTTATAGAAAGTAGTGCCAAATAATATGCATTAATGCTATAGAGATGAGCATACAGAAGAAATGATCACAACTGCATTAAGGGAATCTCACATTGACTTCAACATAAATCTCTCCTTTATTTGAGAAAGTGCAGAAGAACTTCGACTTGTCATCTCATACGTATAAAAACAAGCAGCTGATTGAACCTTTTATTGTTTAGAGAGTTGTCACTCTTCTCTGTCTAAAAAAATCAATAAAGCAAATGATGAATTATTATAATCTCCATAAACAAAAGATGACATCATGGATGATGGATGCTTACCCAGCCAGGCTGGAAACGTTGTGCAGCTGGAGAAGCCGTCGTAGGAGCTGCAGAGGGCAAAGAGTCCCTCGCTGGCCCCATGAGTCTCAACCAGCCACTGAGGCGAACAGAGACTCATTGTGTACAGCACAAACTCCACAGATAACAGGGTTGTCAGCACAGTCACTGGATTCCTCATATTACCCTCCCACACGCACAAACACTGTCTCTCTTCAGTGCATCTGATAGTTTG